CCGGCGGCATTTATGTTCAACGTGGTTTCAATTCAGTCGACAGCAGATGGCCTTACATTATCAGTTTGTGCAAGACATAAGTCTTCGACAATGACCTTCATTTATGACATCACGTGTATGGTCTGTGTTAATGTCGTCATCGGCGTTGTTGTAGTGTTGTATTGCTTCGTCGGCAGAGTTGTGTTGAAAAGGAATGCAAGGATTGGTGCCAGGGCTGTTGCCAACGGCAGCGCCACTATTAGTCACCAGGGTGGAAATTGGAACCATACAGGAGAAATTCCGACGTGTACAAACAGTGAAGCGGCGCAACGCCGAGACAACACTGAAAACGATAGAACACCGCGTAGCACACTCTCTCCAAATAACAAAAGTACTTTTAACTATAATCGTCCAACGCAACTTTCACAGCCCGTATCGGGTGTAGCCGTAAATACACCAGCTTCAGCTTCAGTCACCAGTGGTTCTATCAGAATGCTTGTTACAGTGACAGTTGTGTTCCTGTTTACGTGGATTCCATTTACGATTGTCGTCGTATTGCGTAGTGTGGGAATTATTTCCGACAGTAATCATATTGGTGTAATTATTACGAATTTCCTGTATGTTGTACCTTATATTAATAATGGTTGTAACCCCATAGTGTATGCTTTTGTCAGCAAAAAGTTTCGTAATGATTCTCAACAAGTACTGCAAAAAATGTGTAGAAACCAATGATGACATAACTTACACATGACAGTTGAAATAAAAATGTAATTATAATAATTGTGATTAATATAATCATTCAGTTGGTTTACTGGGTTCGCTCAGGTTACTAGTACCCATCACCTGGGTTTACTATGGTCTGGCACCTGAAGTGGGTTTACAATGGTCTGGCACCTGAAGTGGGTTTACTATGGTCTGTCACCTGAAGTGGGTTCACAATGGTCTGGCACCTGAAGTGGGTTTACTGTGGTCTGGCACCTGAAGTCGGGGTTACTAGTTCCCGTCACCTGAAGTGGGTTTACTATGGTCTGGCACCTGAAGTGGGTTCACAATGGTCTGGCACCTGAAGTGGGTTTACTATGGTCTGGCACCTGAAGTGGGTTTACTATGGTCTGACACCTGAAGTCATCGTCCGAATTGCACGGTCTCGTGCCTTCGACCTATAGGCTTCTACACGATACCGTGCGGGATCGCATAGGCTAATTGCGTATCTTAAGCAGTGAGATCTGATTGGGCGCGCCTCGAAACAAGGCGCTCAATCAGCTTGGACGTGCCAAATTATAA